GTTGTCTTGTTATCCTGGGCCTCTTTGTGGAATTTGGCTCTTTGGGTTGTTCCAACACCAATCTGATTGAATCTTAAATTGTCTGATTCGCTCTGATACCATACATATACAATAGAACTGTTTTAGGCTATATACATATATACAAAATTACATTACATGTAAATGGATTTAAAATTAGCTGACTGCTATTATTAAAACAAGGTAATCAATCTGGTATTAGGAACAATCAGTAGCACTAGTGATACTAGAAACCAGGGATTAGGTTAAGTTCAAATTACTTCACACTGCATACACACATGCTGTATTTAAAAGCTTCAATTAAAGAGTGTTAACCCCTAATTGTTAAAGCTATTTGGTAGCTTAGCCTAAGATTAAACTATGCTAAGTTGTGTTAGCTTAGCCGCTTCAGGTGGTTTGTTTGCAACATGGCGTCGCGTGTGCTATGTGAAGTTAGTGCTTCCTGTGACAAGTTGTTGTCATGGTAACCAATGCATGCCAGTGTAATTCAAACAGTTTAGTGTCTGCCTATTTCAAAGAAGTTGCCCACAGTTTTAAAACGTGGTCCTTTCAGTCCTTCAAGACTTGTTGCATAAAATAAGCACTTCTATGAGTGCTTCTCTAATTTAACAATAAACTTCTTGCACTTGTTTAAAGAATTTAAAAAACAGGTTTACTGTAAAAGACTTGTTGCATAAAATAAGCACTTCTATGAGTGCTTCTCTAATTTAACAATAAACTTCTTGCACTTGTTTAAAGAATTTAAAAAACAGGTTTACTGTAAGTTACAGCCGGTTTAAACATATATGTAGTTATGTGTGCCTCACACATGAATACTAAAGTACAGTATTACACATTTAATTTCACTCAGCGAGTGAAACACAGTAATGACCACCAAGTTACTAGGCTTGTATATATGCAGTCAAAGTGTAGATGAATTGCTTCAATCTAATTATAAACTATAAGGCCTTTATGCTGTAGAAAGACGAGCAACACTCAAATCTACCTTGATATAACTGATTTCTTCTTCAAAGAAACAATTTAAACAATACTGCAATTTTGTGATTTCTTCACTAAAGCATTATACATTATGGTACAGTTTGGACATGCCGCTGAGCTGAGATTCAGACTTATGCTTTGTCAGAACAGATTTATGCTTTAATACTGAAATTAGGGTTTCTTTGCTAAAATCAGATTAACCTTACACTGATACCATTAAGCATGAAATACATAAAGACTCTTCCAATCATAATAGCGGTACCAATTCAAACCCCCACTTTATCTGCATCTAAACAAGCCAGCAAATAGGGACACAACAGCGCATCTCAAGTCACGCCCTATTTTAACCTGGACTATCACGCACACACTTTTAAGTTGACAGTGTTTAAACTCATAACTTTCGTTTTATCATGCCCGCATCCTCCACCAAAATCTGTAGCGAATCAGCTCATGGGGAAATATGAATAATTAATCATAACTAGTTATAATTAATTATAAATATTTAGATCCGCTGTAGATATTTACTTGACCTCTCAGGGTCAACTGTCTGTCAATTCTAAGAACGTTAATTTCCTGGTTAAGGGAAATAACTTTCTTACTGTACAACTCTACACAGAGCCTGTAGCATAAATCTGCATGATTAGGGACTCCAGTTATGAGCAAACAATGAACAACATCAAGTGTGATACAAGTAAGACTTTATTAACTACATAAACACTTAAACTAGTCTAACATACACATAAACACTTAAACTGGTCTAACATACACATACACACACACACACACACACACACACACACAGACATATGCATACAGTTGGTATAGGAAAGGGTTAAAGCTTAAGCAGTAAAGAGGAGAGAAATAAGGAATGAAGTTATGGAACCATTTGCATATTCAGCAGATCTACCGCCTGAAGGAAACATCAGATTCTTAGTTCAAACACACCTTTGTAAAAAGGTGAAAATGATACCTAATGTATCAATTAATAAGACTAAGTTTGAATACTTGCACGTCTCATCT